GATTGCAAGTGCTTTTTCGTGATACTCCTTTGCTTCTTTGTAACTTCCAAGATGACTCAACGCTGATCCTAGATGACTTAAACTTGTAGCCACTAAAGGGTGATTGTCTCCGTACGTGCTTTTATCGATTGCAAGTGCTTTTTCGCGATACTCCTTTGCTTCTTTGTAACTTCCAAGATTACTCAATGTTGATCCTAGATTACTTAAAATTGTAGCCACACTAGGGTGATTGTCTCCATATGTGCTTTTGTAGATAGCGATCGCTTTTTCTAAATATTCCTTGGCTTCTACAAATTTGTTTAGGTGCAACAGCAATATTCCTAAGTTATTTAAACTTGTAGCCACTTCAGTGTGAGTGTTTCCGTAGGCCATCCTTGCCATTTCTAGAGATTTTTCATAACACTCCTTTGCTTCACGGTATTCACCAAGGTTATCTAATGTGTATCCTAATTCGTTAAAGAACCATTGTTGCTCTTTAATTTGGTCGTCATCGTACATGTGCTCGTCTGAAGTTTTCKTGTCGACCTCGTTCTTCGTAGTGTCAGATTTTGTAATTGTAAGTGTCATGCATATTTCTAAGATATTTCTACATAGTATATGATGCTTTTGCTGTTCTCTCAATACTACATACAGACGATTCCTCAATAGTGTCATTACTTGTAGATATTGACTCGTAGTTGTTCTGTTTAATTGGTAGCGTACTCCATACTTGTCCTTTTCTGTCGAAAGCAAAATTTGGCGTCGCTCGAAAAACATTTTTACTTTGTAAGACAAACTTACCACGTGCACAACAAGTTTGCCTGTAGATTTGATGTAATCCACGCTTTGTTTGTCTATTTTGTCAAGATACGAAAACACTTCGATCACTTTTGTTAAGTACGAAAATTCATCTTCTTCATCGCTGTGTAATTCTTGGACCACTGTTTGAAGAACGTTGAAAACAACTTGATGGACGCGAATCATTGGTTCTACTTTATCCGCAGACGTAAGAACGAGTGACGACTTCATTATCTTTCTTGCCAATAATTTTTTATCGACTTCGTTAGGCATGCATTTCATCACATAACTTACAACATCATCTAGCGATATGAACCCCGGAGCCAAAGCAGCCAGGAATTCAAAAGCATGGAGCATTACTGGACTTCTCTCTATGACATTTTGAACTGCCATCTTTACAGCTGTTGTCATCGACTTTTTATACGAGTTGTTGATTTCTTCATACATTGTTTCAGTTGGCTCAATATTGGA